GAGGCTGAGAGCCTGAGACAGTGTCATGCTAAAAGAGATGCCATGAATTTCTCACATTGTTTTGTGTATAAATGTCTGGGTTCAGGGGAATAAAGTCATAAACTGTAGAGTGCACTGCATGTGCAACACATGGATAGCAGTTCATATAAAAAATTGGTTCAGCTTAACTTGTAAAATTGATTGATCTCTTTGCCTTGCATTTCTTGGAAATGCATTAGAGTTTCTAAAGAATACTTAATACTGCAATCAGATAATGCAAAGATCCGTAAAATCCAAATATCATTTTGGAAGCTTATAAAATGGCACTAAAATTTTCAAATATCAAATTATTTTCAACGTCAGACACCTTTTAATGAGCTGTAACTTTAACTTGTAACCGTTCCACAGAGTGTACCATCAATTAATGACTCATTGTGTCATAATCATACATGATATATGATACAAGTAAAATCAAGTTGGGCCATTACCAAGACTTTCTTGCTACCATTCATGACTTAGTGCAAATAATATCATACAATTGCCAACCATAGACCTACTCAGGCTCACGAGCTAGCAGCCTAGTTCTCAGAAACTTTGTTTGTACAATTCTCTCTCTCCCTCTAGCTTTCCCTTTCCCTCTACCTCTCCCTCTCTCTCCTCTGTCTTTTTTCATCCTAGTTTTGTTTTAATCAAGTAACAGTAGTGGGCTCCTCAGTCCCCACTGTATTTTCCCCAAAAAAAATATCACACCCATTGCAGTAACAAGGACTTTGCCTCGACTATTATGGTTCAGGTTAACATAATTTAGGTCAACAATAGTAGGAGGAACGGCAGTCCAACCGTAGACACAACCGGGAAATAACAGTGAACCAAAAGGGAAACGGGGAGGGGGGTTCTTACTGTGGCGGCCGTGCGCTCGTCGAAGCGGCCAGCGGCGCGAAGGACCTTGTAGAGCTCGCCACGGGCCGCGTACTCGAGGACGAGGACGACTTTCTCTTCGTCGTGGAACCAGGCGAAGAGGCGGAGCACGTTGGGGTGGTCGAGGTCGCGCTGGATCTCGATCTCCCTCCGCAGGTGCGCGTGGAAGCGGTACTTCTCCAGCTTCACCTTGAATATCACCTTCAGCGCCACCACGTACCCGCTCTGGATCATCATCGCCACGCGTAGATGAACTTCCATTGGAGGCGAAATTTTAGGGGAATCGAGAGAATTGGAGAGTACGAGTTGATCGGGCCGACCTGCTTCTCGCGGGCGAGGTACACCTTGCCGAACTTGCCCTCGCCAATGTACTTGCCGATCTCGAAGTCGGACATGCTCCACTCCTCGCGCGTCGCCATCGCAGGCGGGCGTGGCGAATGGTGGGGCGAGGTTGTGCGAGACTACGAAGACGGCGACGGGTTGCGTGGAGGAGGAGCCGGAACCGGAGAAGGGGATGGAATGGAACGGGTATGGAATTTGAAATGGAGGGCACCGGCCGGCGGAATTGGGCTGGGGATCAAGAAGACGCGAGCTTCCTATGTTTTTTTTTGAGAATACGCGAGCTTCCTATGTGGCTTCGCAGTCTGGTCCACCGTACAATCTCGGCCCATTATCTTTTATTATCTCGACGTGAAAAAAGTCTAGATTATCTCCTTAACTTTCACAACTCCAAAACCAGGCAAAACACCTCCCTCAACTTTTAAAACCGTTCATCTTACCTCCCTGATCCTGTTATAAACAGTTTTAAAGGCGGTTTTATCTTTTTCTTTTTTATTTATTTCGGCTAAATCTTTGAAAAATCATAATAAATCACAGAAAAATCATAAAATAGAAAATCCAATTTTGTTGGACTCCAGTGAACATATAATATGGTATGCTTTAGTAAAAAGTTTTTTTTGCTGTAGTTTTAGATCTATTCTTTTTTATAATTAAATAGAATAATTTATAGCTGCAGTTTCTATGATCCAATTGTGATGAATTTTTTATGGTGGGGCTAATTATTGTATGCTTAAACTGTAGTAAAAATTTCATACTCGTTGAATCATGTATAACTTAGTTATAGATTTTATTAGGTTTATGCTTGTTAAATATAAATAAATCTAAGATCTAAACGCCTAGACGCCGCGCGCAGACTAGCCTAGCGGTAAACAGCCCTTTTAGCGCACACACGGGCCAAGGAGAAAAAGGCCCATCTAAGATCTAACCTACTCAATTATTATGTTGCGTGAGCTCGATTTGTCTGGAAACTGGATTTTAAACTCCCATCTTTTAAAACCATTCCACTAAAAAAAATCTTTGAAAACCATCCGATTTATCTCCTTGAGCGTATGTAGTGCTATGTCAGTTGTTCTATGTAGCACCATGTAAACCACGAAAAAAGGTAAATTGGACTTTCACGATAATTTAAGGAGGTCAATCACACTTTTAAAAAAAACTATAGAAATATGTTTTTTAAAATAACCCAAATATTTTTTCTATAATAAATGTACATTTACAAATATTAATATCTAACTAACATTTGAAAATGCATAGAAAAATGTTTTATGACTCAAAAAATATGAAACCAATTTTTTTTTCCCTAAAATCATGCTCTATGTTTTTCTTATAACCTAAAAAAATATGAAACCAGATTCATATTCTTTTAAAAAAAATCATGTTCTATGTTTTTCTTGGTTAGACATCATAATATGGAGCATGATTTTTAAAAACACATGATGTATGCCATTTCGAGCCCGTTTAAACTGTCTTCATAGTTCACATATTTACTCAACCTCAATGTATCTCAGGTACCTAGTAGTTACACGTGGGTATATTTCAATACTACTCCCTCCATTTTAAATTATAAAGTATTTTAGCTTTTTAGATACATAAGTTTTGATATGCATTTAGATATATACAAGTTGGAACTAGCAGGTAACCCGCGCTTCGCGCGGGCAACAGTGGACGCTGCGAGGACAAAAAAAAATGGTACTGTTCCCTATCGGGTCGGGTACTGTTCATATGATCTGGTACTAGGGAAAAAGTGGTACTGGTCCTTATTATCGGGGTGGGCACTGTTCATATGATCCAGTACTGTTCGTCTACAGGGATCTGAGTCAGGGGGTGCGCCGGATGGACAGTAATCGCGATGTGACACCCCTCAAATTTATAGTCTTTTATAGATAGTATGTTTGATACACAATAAGAATAATATATTTAAAAAAAATCAAAACATCTTGTAATTTAAAAGAGATGGAGCAGCACCTTACTAGTCTCTTATAGTGGGCATCCAACCCGTGTATATCTGTATCCAGACCCTTCGGATATGAAACGTGCAGTAGGTACCCCACGAGTCGAATTGCCATCCCTAGTTTTAAAAAGACAAGCCACCAACTATTTGGAACATGGAAGTTAATTTTCTATAAATCCTACGTCAATTCATGTACTAGATCTGTCCTAAATTATAAGATGTTTTGATTTTTTTAATATATTGATTTTACTATATATCTAGACATAATGTATATCTATGTGCATAGCAAATACGACGTACATAGAAAAGTCAAAATATCTTATAATTTAGAACGGAGGAAGTATATTATAAATTTTTAATGTTGCAAATAAGGCAAAAATCCGCTTGGGCAGCTGTGGACTGCGGTAGACTGATAGTAGCACTGCTAGTAGTAGTAGCACAAGAAGCGCGCAAACAAAACATTTCGAATCCCAATTCCCCCCAAACGGCAAAACCCCTCCTCGTCGCCGTCGTGCTCCGCCGCCTCGAGCCCCTCTCTCGGTGATCGCGATGGCGAACATGCCGGTATCGGAGATGCGGCTTCCTCCCCACCTCACCCACCTCCTCGCCGCGCGCCGCCTCGACACCGCCAAGGTCAGCCTCTCGATTCCACCTCCATTGCTGCCGCCGCCACTCCTAACCGCGCGCGCCTCGGGCCTGCGCTCTGTCCCTATCCAGGACGTGTTGTCGCTGCCGGAGGTGGAGCTCATGGCCATCCTCGACGCCGGCCTCCCAACCGCACGCGCGGCCGTCGCCCTCGTCAGCGAGGCCGCCTGCCCGCCCTGCCAGACGGTACCCTCTCACCCACCTGTGCTCCGCTTGCGCCCCTGCCTCGGATTTGGTGGGGTTTCGACTCAGTGGTCGATTTGGGGTTGTAGTCTGTGACTCTGGGTTAGGGTTTGCACTGCATTGACCTGCCCTGGCGCTGCGCAGGCGCTCACACTTCTGGAGGAGCGCGTCAGGTTAGGAGGCGGCGGCCGGCTGGCCACCACGCTCTGCGGGTTGGACGAGGCATTGGGCGGAGGAATCCCCATGGGAAAGCTCACTGAGGTCGTTGGGCCCTCGGGGATCGGCAAAACCCAGGTGAGCTGCTGATCTTGGAGATTCACGCTTAATTTGCGCACCTCGTAGGGTGCTGTGGATGCACGGATTCACCTGTACGCGTGTGGGCGCCAGGTGTTTGTGAATATGTACCTACATGCTATGCGTCTCCATGAGCTTGGTATGTAATACAGAACCGGAAGGAAATGTACCTTGTGTATATGCTTCATGGGATGCCGCATCATGCGCCTGCACGTTTTGATTCCGATTCCAATGATCTTGGGCATCTTGATTGAGTCCACTGATCAATTGCCATTTTGTCGAGCCAAACGGTTATGGAGCCAGAACATTTTGTGCTAACTTTATTGTGCATTATCTCATCGTGTTGCTTGTCTTGTATGTGTTTTTTTAAATTTTGTAGTTATGGTTTTGCACACTGCAGTTCTGCCTGAAGCTTGCGTTGTTAGCAGCTTTACCAGAATATTATGGAGGTTTAGATGGTCGAGTTGTGTATATTGACACGGAATTCAAGTTCTCTTCGCGGAGGTAGCTGAAGTTAATGACTACTGTTTACTACTCCCAAGTATACTTTAATAATTTTTCTTTAGTCGAACTTCTCATGTTGCTGTTGATATGTTGCAGGATGATTGAGATTGGTCAGAAAAGTTTTCCTCAAATATTTCGACAAGAAGGCTTGGCACAAAAGGTTCTCATACTCCACATGATTATACTTGGGAACCTCACCAAGAAACAATGCTAGGGAACCTTGCTAATATTTCTTTCAGTTATTGTAGTACTGTTCTCACAATCCTGAAGTCTTGCCTGTTGTTTCATATCCTTTGTTTATTTTTGCAGATGGCTGGGAGGATCCTAGTAACGCGACCAACATCTTTAGCTGATTTTACCAAGAGGTATAGCTGTTCTTGAAACCAGTAAACTTCATTACCAGCGCTCTTTCCTTTATTTGCAAAATATAGACTGACATTTTGAGTATTTTAGTTCTTAGGCGCATGGAGGACCGAAAGTTCCTTAAATTATCTTTGAAATTCTAGTACCATGCTGTTGAAAATTCAGAATGCTTGTCTTCTGCCCACTCTCATGCCATCATAGTTTAGATCTTGTGCTTTAGGTTTATGCTCCTCACTAAACTCGACATGTTATGCTAACAATCTTTACTGTCTTTCTACAGTTTGGAAGAGATGAAGGTGACTCTTCTTCAGCATGATGTGAAGTTACTCATTGTTGATAGCATGGCTGCTCTTATGTCTCTGTAAGCTATGGACATGGAATTCCTTAGTCTAGTTTGCAAATAACTTGCTGTATATTTTAAAAGGTTGAAGTGTATTCTTGTAGACACTATTCTACATATATAAGTATCTTCTTTTGCTGGCAACCAGATCATCAAAATATCCAATTTCAGATTGAAGTATGGTTGACTATATAATAGCATAATGTCCAAACTGCTATTTTTGTAGCAAAACAAGAGCCACGGCTGCTATGTAATTGACTAGTTTCTGTGCCATCTCACTGCCTGCTACACCTCCAATGCTGGCTATGTTTAGGAGCATTTCACATGTGTAGGCTTTAGGTTTTACATAAGCTGAGTTTATAGTTCCTGAATAGTTGTGCTATCAGTTGATGGAAAACTAATCCTCTATTACATCCTGTCTGTAACAGGGAGAATGAGAAGGCTACAGCGGGTTTCAGGCAACACCCTTTAAGAGGGACTCTTTCTTTTCTTAAGTGTGTCTCCCAGTCTCTTAATGCTCACAGAACTTTCTCTATATTGTTTTAGTTTACCAATATTCATCCTGCTGACATACCTTTTATTTCCTCTCTTTCTTTTTTCCTTGTGTAGGTCTATAGCAGAGTTCTCAAGAATTCCAGTCGTGGTTACAAACCAAGTACGCAGCCAAAGTAATGATGACGGTTACCATTTTTCCTTTGAAGGTTTGGACTTTCTTCCTATAACAGTTATGTTTTAAACAATTTGTCGAACTTGACTAAAGTATCTGTCAAAATCATCTGCAGTGGACAAAAAGGATGGTA